AAATGTGTACTGGGTTGATTTTAGGGAATGTTGCGTTGTCTTTTTGGGTGCAAAATAATTAAATTTCGAAGACATATATTTCATTCACTTAAAAGTACTACTAAGAGACTATTGTCTACTGTAGAAACAAAAACAACAATTTACACAACTTGAAACGAACGTACGATAAAATCATTGTGATGTTTGCTGGTGAGCGTGAATATCAGAATTGCGTTCGGACAAAAAGGAGTGCAAGTTTTGCATACTTCTTTCTGACGCCTGATTCACTCTCGCCTCCACCTAGTACCATAAAATAACTATCATGTAAGCCCTGTACTTAAACAACTTCATAAGGGGCATTCTACAATATCTCAAAATTCAGTTGTATCAAAGCACACACAGCAGTATTGATTTGCGTTCTTTACCACCTTCACAAAACTGAAGTCGGTCACGAAATTTCACTGCCTCCACCGAATGGCTCAAAGCTCAGTTGTAGTAAAACGTAGTCTACCCGTTCTGCTGGTATGATTGGTGTTTATCTCTTGCTGTGGGCTTACTTGATTAATGTTAAGGCGGAGGCAGATCTTTCCACAGAAACAGCGTAGTCTGCCTCAAAATATGCAAGTAGCCTTCTCGAAAGTTCTGATTGAAAACTGGGTAAATGTACGGCGTGAGAGCGCTGTTAGAGTAGGACATGAAATGCCTGATGAAACCAAAACTCTCACTGCTGCAAAAGCGCGGAAGTGGCACTGTTATGCAGCTAGCGAGAGTAACCTATGCAGGCATCAAGCAAACACAAAAACATAACACCACTGTTGTAAGCATAGATATCACCTTCCGGTTAATAGTGCGGTTGCGGGTGGTTCTGGATGCCGTTTGATTCCCTGGGGTTTTTCTAGTACACATTTTTAACGCAATAGCAGTGTACAGAGCTATTGCTATGGCAACGGGAATTCCTGTCGTCACAACCAAGTCACAGATCAAGTACCTGTGGTAGTTTTCGCTGGTTTTCAAGAGATCTCTTATAATGGCATTAGCGCAGTATGTTTTTCCATTTATGCTTGAAAGCTCGGCGTAGTGAAATAACAGATAGTAGCAGCAACATGGAAAGATCCAGGTAAATGCGATTATTCCAGCCATTATTTTCCTGGTCATGGGGCGACGAAGTGGAGAGAACACCGCAAGAAACCTGTTCAAGGCGATGAACGCGAAACATAATGTTGACACAAGTACTGACATATATGAGACAGCACTGGTAATTTTGCACACCAGAAGCCAGAAGGTTCCATCGATTGGCCACTGATACCCAACAAGGAATACATAGATAGCTCGCGGCATGTTGCATACCGTGATGAGCTGATCAGCCATGCTGAGATTCACAATCAGGTAATTACTGACTGTCCGCATTCGTCTGTTCACATTCTGATAAATGGAACCAATGGCGAGAGAATTACCGATTAGAGAAAGGGCTATGGCAACAGCATAGCCTAGTACGTTGAAAACCGTTGAGACCAGCGGCTCACGGAAATTGCTAACAAACGGATATCTCCTAGTGGGAAATGTTCCATTCCCAGATCCTTTCCATTCCAGTTTCCTGATTCGTTAACAAAGCTCGCGGAGGATTCGGAAAGGGTTAGGTCGATGAAGCTCATCTTTCGACAAATCTTCAATTGAACTTTTTTCAGTAGATAGTAAGTTAAATCTTCGACTTAAGCTTATAACAAACTATTTTCTCAGCTGACAGATGACTGTTCGGGATTATTAAATGTAAGCTTTTTTTACATCTCAATCTTGATTGCAATGGAAATTTAAGATCAATACTTATTGTACAATTTTTCATACAACAATGCTTTTTCAACTAGTTTTGTATTTTACAGCTGTCTTCAAAAAATTGCACTTATCTTAAGTAGAAACTGGTTATACCTCTTAAAATCCATGTTTCAGTGAGCCTTTACTAACATACCTGCCTAATAACACTTGTAGCGATCGATGACTTATCACTTCAGGAGAAACTAGTGAGTACATTGCAAACTCATAAGGGTATTGGTAAAGATGCTTTCATGTTAGAGAAGATTCAGTTGTGTTTAAAAGTTTCGATAAAATTATCTTTGAAGTCTGACCGCTGCAGCACAACTTTTTAGTACCAGTATGTGACGCAGTTAAATTCGTGTTCTCACTTTTAAGAGGCATTGTTTCCATTTTCACATCGTGTTGTGGAATAAAATCGAAACAAAACAAACATCGCTGTGTTTGCATTGGCGACAAAAATACCGGTCTTGTACCTTTACCCGCTTAGTGACTTAATTACATTTTCTCTTTCTTCTTTTAAAAAAACCGTTAATTATTCAGTTTTAAACACATGCGCTTTTCGCGCCGTCCATTTATAATTCCCAGTATTTTCAATCATACGAGTGCCGATTTTGATTATCCAGCGTGTTTTCTCCACAACAACAAAAGAATAGCTGAGGCGTTGAACACAATAGCTGAGAGAAACTGAGATTGGAAAAGTAATATTGAAATGTCGGCACCAGCCACTGTTTGCGCAGCCAAACTGGTATGGGTTTAGAGCTAGTTATTATGTCACAGAACCATGATTAAAATCCAATTAAAAATGCAAACGCTACCCGCGTTCGAATCTCGTCTGTTACTGGGATATTTTTTTATTTGTCCCGTACTCATGATAACAGAACTTTTAGGTTACTGAATTATATTTCTATGTTGAACATTTTGTACAAAGAGTGGATAAGTGTCCCTCGATGGGCACAATTAATGGGCTGAACAGAGCTTTTTATACACCCATAAGAACAGTAACAAAAAGATGAAAAATTTTTCTTTAGTGGGTTCATCGTCGGAGGAAAACCAAGACACAGAGATATGTTCATTCTCAATAAACCCAATCCTTGGAAGCGATCTCTGTGACAGTATGCCATCGCATCGTGAAATCCAAAGATGAGCTGTTAGTAACAAATGTCTCGCTTTTAGTCACAAATTCGTCATTGGTACCGACGATGCCAGAATTTGTTGAGGTCAAAAGCACCAGGCGGTCAAATGACTGACCCCTCCCCCCTCCAGAATATATCCTAGTGGATTATAAAGGCTACGAGTATAATGAGTTCTACAATGAAAATAAGCTGACGCATTAAAAGTCAAGATTCTTGCACCCCTTAGGACTGGAAAAAGAAAGACGTCACGTTATTCTGAATAGTGTGTGGCTATATCGTTATAAGAAAATGACAGCTATCGTTCAAGCATTTAAAGAGTCCCCATCGGAAATGTTTTTTTTTTTTTTCAGAAAGTGGGAGTGATGGGAGTAAAGACAATATGGGAACTATGTCTGTTCCAAGTAGGACCCTTTCTCTCACCTTAGAGGTTGCAAATGGGGATGTTTGGTTTTTTGACAGAAAGAGACTGGAACCAAAAGAGTTGCTATGGCAACAGCACTAAATTACCACTCGGCTATTTTTCAAGAAAGAAAGTCTAACTAAGTCTTCAAACATGGTCGTGACTACAAGCAACAACCAACGTAACACAGTCATCGACCCTTTTCAAAATATTAAACAAAATTGCTTATATAGTTCACTCAAGAGTTTTCATGTTTCAAACATTTAATTACCCGTTAAAAAATAAGTATTACCTCATTATATTTCGCTATTTGCCCACACAAATAAAAACCAATCATTCAGAAAATCTATTTACGCTAATCAATCTCAAGTTTCTAATGGTCAGGCAAAATAATTCTGTGAAGCGGAAAATAAAATGGCTTTTTGAACACTTAATGATGGTTTATTACTTTTACAGTTGTTGCCCTCTTGTGTAGATAAGACTAAAAAGTTGTAAATGCAAAGGAGAAGCCTAAGCGAGAAAATTAAACGGTAACTACAACAATAACATTTTCTGAACTGATTCGAGTTCCATGCTTCCTGACGCTACCAACAGCCTTCCAAAACTACTAAAGTTAACCTTTATTGCCTTGATTACCGACTGCAACATTCCCCGTGTTAGATCCTTGTTGGCCAACGTTACCAGCAGTGCTACCGAAACTCATCTTTTGGACTTTATTCAGTTGATTTCCGACAGCAACACTCCCCGTATTAGACCCTTGTTGACCAATGTTTCCAGCAGAGTTGCCAAACCTCATCTTTTGGACTTTATTCAGATGATTTCCGACAGCAACGCTTCCTCTGTTGCGGCCTTGCGTACCGATGTTGACAGGGGTCCTACCAAAGCTTGACTCTTGGCCGTTTTTCAGCTGACTGCCGACTGCAACATTTGCCGTGTTTGTGCCTTGTTGGCCAACATTGCCAGCGGTACTACCAAAGTTTATCTTCTGGCCTTTATTCAGTTGATTGCTGACTGCAACATTTTCCGTTTTTATCCCTTGTTGGCCAACATTGCCAGCGGTACTAACAAAGCTTATCTGTTGCCCTTTATTTACCTGATTCCCGACAGCAACTTGTCCATTGTTGCTCCCTTGTTGGGGAACGTTGACAGCGGTATTACCAAAGCTCGCCTGTTCTCCTTTATTCAGCTCGTTGCCAACAGCAACATTTGCCTTGTTTGTCTCTTGTTGGCCAACGTTGCTAATGGTGCTACCAAAGTTTTCCTCTTGGCCTTTATTCAATTTCTTCGAGCTGCTTTTCTCTTTGCCTCCACAGACAACGGTTTTGCCATTTTTTTGTTGTTTGCCGATTACAATATTGCCATTATTGTTTCCTGTGTGGGCTGTGCCCCCAGCAGCCTTCCCAAAATGGAACTTAGAGCCATTGTAATTAGAAGTGCTGACATTTTCATTCCCCGACTTTTTTCCTTCTTTGCCACCGCAGACAATGCTTTTTCCAGTGGTTTTGGAAGCGCCATTATTGTGTTGACTGTCAATGACCACATTCCCCGAACTACTTCCTTTATGGCCCACAATGCCACCAACACTCCCAAAGTTGAATACCTGCCCCTTGTTGCCTTCGTTGCCAACGCCAGCCTTTGCCGTGTTCGGTTGATTCTGCGAAGCGCTGCCACCAGTGTTACCAAGTTTCAACTTCTTGCCACCGGCAATGTTCTTTGCGGTGTTTCCTTGTTGGCCAAGGCTTCCAGCGGTGTTACCCGTATTGGAACCTTGTTCACCAACACCACCAGCCGTGCTACCATAGCTTATAGTTTGGCCTTTATTCAGTTGACTGCCGACTGCAAAATTTCCAGTGTTTGTTCCTTGTTGGCCAACATTGCCAGTGGTGCTACCAATGCTTATCTTTTGGCCTTTATTCAGTTGACTACCGACTGCAACATTTCCCGGGTTTTTTCCTTGTTGGCCAACATTACCAGTGGTGCTACCAGAGCTTATCTTTTGGCCTTTATTCAGTTGACTGCCGACCGCAACATTTCCAGTGTTTCTTCCTTGTTGACCAACATTGATCATCGTGTTACCAAGGCTTATCCTTTGGCCTTTATTCAGTTGACTGCCGACCGCAACATTTCCTGTGTTTGTGCCTTGTTGGCCAACATTTCCAGCAGTACTGCCAAAGGCTAGTTTTTGGCCTTTATTCAGCTGACTGCCGACAGCAACATTTCCCGTGTTTGAGCCTTGTTGGCCAACATTGCCCATGGTGTTACCAAAGCTTGTCTTTTGGGCTTTATTCAGTTGACTGCCGACTGCAACATTTGCCGTGTTTGTCTCCTTTTGTCCAACATTGCCAGCAGTGCTACCATAGCTTATCGTTTGGCCTTTATTCAGTGTACTGCCGACTGCAACATTTCCTGTGTTTGTTCCTTGTTGGCCAACATTGCCAGTGGTGCTAACAAAGCTTATCTGTTGCCCTTTATTTACCTGATTTCCGACAGTAACTTGTCCATTGTTGCTCCCTTGTTGGGCAACGTTGACAGCGGTACTACCAAAGCTCGCCTGTTCTCCTTTATTCAGCTCATTGCCAACAGCAACATTTGCCTTGTTTGTCTCTTGTTGGCCAACGTTGCTAGCGGTGCTACCAAAGTTTTCCTCTTGGCCTTTATTCAATTTCTTCGAGCTGCTTTTCTCTTTGCCTCCACAGACAACGGTTTTGCCATTTTTTTGTTGTTTGCCGATTACAATATTGCCATTATTGTTTCCTGTGTGGGCTGTGCCCCCAGCAGCCTTCCCAAAATGGAACTTAGAGCCATTGTAATTAGAAGTGCTGACATTTTCATTCCCCGACTTTTTTCCTTCTTTGCCACCGCAGACAATGCTTTTTCCAGTGGTTTTGGAAGCGCCATTATTGTGTTGACTGTCAATGACCACATTCCCCGAACTACTTCCTTTATGGCCCACAATGCCACCAACACTCCCAAAGTTGAATACCTGCCCCTTGTTGCCTTCGTTGCCAACGCCAGCCTTTGCCGTGTTCGGTTGATTCTGCGAAGCGCTGCCACCAGTGTTACCAAGGTTCAACTTCTGGCCACCGGCAACATTCTGTGAGGCGCTTACTTGTTGGCCAAGACTTTCAGGGGGATTACCCGCATTAGAACCTTCGCCAACACTACCAACAGTGCTACCATAGCCTTTATTCAGTTGACTGCCGACTGCAACATTTGCCGTGTTTGTCTCTTGTTGTCCAACATTGCCGGCAGTACTACCAAGGCTTATCTTTTGGCTCTTATTCAGTTGACTGCCGACTGCAACATTTCCTGTGTTTGTTCCTTGTTGGCCAACATTTCCAGCAGTACTGCCAAAGGCTAGGTTTTGGCCTTTATTCAGCTGACTGCCGACTGCAACATTTCCCGTGTTTGAGCCTTGTTGGCCAACATTGCCCATGGTGTTACCAAAGCTTATCTTTTGCCCGTTATTCGTTTGACTGCCGACTGCAACATTTCCAGTGTTTGTTTCTTGTTGGCCAAGATTGCTGGTGGTGCTACCAGAGCTTATCTTTTGGCCCTTATTCAGTTGACTGCCGACTGCAATGCTCTTTCCAGTGGTTTTGGAAGCGCCATTATTGTGTTGACTGCCAATGACCACATTCCCCGAACTACTTCCTTTATGGCCCACAATGCCACCAACACTCCCAAAGTTGAATACCTGCCCCTTGTTGCCTTCGTTGCCAACGCCAGCCTTTGCCGTGTTCGGTTGATTCTGCGAAGCGCTGCCACCAGTGTTACCAAGGTTCAACTTCTGGCCACCGGCAACATTCTGTGAGGCGCTTACTTGTTGGCCAAGACTTTCAGGGGGATTACCCGCATTAGAACCTTCGCCAACACTACCAACAGTGCTACCATAGCCTTTATTCAGTTGACTGCCGACTGCAACATTTGCCGTGTTTGTCTCTTGTTGTCCAACATTGCCGGCAGTACTACCAAGGCTTATCTTTTGGCTCTTATTCAGTTGACTGCCGACTGCAACATTTCCTGTGTTTGTTCCTTGTTGGCCAACATTTCCAGCAGTACTGCCAAAGGCTAGGTTTTGGCCTTTATTCAGCTGACTGCCGACTGCAACATTTCCCGTGTTTGAGCCTTGTTGGCCAACATTGCCCATGGTGTTACCAAAGCTTATCTTTTGCCCGTTATTCGTTTGACTGCCGACTGCAACATTTCCAGTGTTTGTTTCTTGTTGGCCAAGATTGCTGGTGGTGCTACCAGAGCTTATCTTTTGGCCCTTATTCAGTTGACTGCCGACTGCAATGCTCTTTCCAGTGGTTTTGGAAGCGCCATTATTGTGTTGACTGCCAATGACCACATTCCCCGAACTACTTCCTTTATGGCCCACAATGCCACCAACACTCCCAAAGTTGAATACCTGCCCCTTGTTGCCTTCGTTGCCAACGCCAGCCTTTGCCGTGTTCGGTTGATTCTGCGAAGCGCTGCCACCAGTGTTACCAAGGTTCAACTTCTGGCCACCGGCAACATTCTGTGAGGCGCTTACTTGTTGGCCAAGACTTTCAGGGGGATTACCCGCATTAGAACCTTCGCCAACACTACCAACAGTGCTACCATAGCCTTTATTCAGTTGACTGCCGACTGCAACATTTGCCGTGTTTGTCTCTTGTTGTCCAACATTGCCGGCAGTACTACCAAGGCTTATCTTTTGGCTCTTATTCAGTTGACTGCCGACTGCAACATTTCCTGTGTTTGTTCCTTGTTGGCCAACATTTCCAGCAGTACTGCCAAAGGCTAGGTTTTGGCCTTTATTCAGCTGACTGCCGACTGCAACATTTCCCGTGTTTGAGCCTTGTTGGCCAACATTGCCCATGGTGTTACCAAAGCTTATCTTTTGCCCGTTATTCGTTTGACTGCCGACTGCAACATTTCCAGTGTTTGTTTCTTGTTGGCCAAGATTGCTGGTGGTGCTACCAGAGCTTATCTTTTGGCCCTTATTCAGTTGACTGCCGACTGCAATGCTCTTTCCAGTGGTTTTGGAAGCGCCATTATTGTGTTGACTGCCAATGACCACATTCCCCGAACTACTTCCTTTATGGCCCACAATGCCACCAACACTCCCAAAGTTGAATACCTGCCCCTTGTTGCCTTCGTTGCCAACGCCAGCCTTTGCCGTGTTCGGTTGATTCTGCGAAGCGCTGCCACCAGTGTTACCAAGGTTCAACTTCTGGCCACCGGCAACATTCTGTGAGGCGCTTACTTGTTGGCCAAGACTTTCAGGGGGATTACCCGCATTAGAACCTTCGCCAACACTACCAACAGTGCTACCATAGCCTTTATTCAGTTGACTGCCGACTGCAACATTTGCCGTGTTTGTCTCTTGTTGTCCAACATTGCCGGCAGTACTACCAAGGCTTATCTTTTGGCTCTTATTCAGTTGACTGCCGACTGCAACATTTCCTGTGTTTGTTCCTTGTTGGCCAACATTTCCAGCAGTACTGCCAAAGGCTAGGTTTTGGCCTTTATTCAGCTGACTGCCGACTGCAACATTTCCCGTGTTTGAGCCTTGTTGGCCAACATTGCCCATGGTGTTACCAAAGCTTATCTTTTGCCCGTTATTCGTTTGACTGCCGACTGCAACATTTCCAGTGTTTGTTTCTTGTTGGCCAAGATTGCTGGTGGTGCTACCAGAGCTTATCTTTTGGCCCTTATTCAGTTGACTGCCGACTGCAATGCTCTTTCCAGTGGTTTTGGAAGCGCCATTATTGTGTTGACTGCCAATGACCACATTCCCCGAACTACTTCCTTTATGGCCCACAATGCCACCAACACTCCCAAAGTTGAATACCTGCCCCTTGTTGCCTTCGTTGCCAACGCCAGCCTTTGCCGTGTTCGGTTGATTCTGCGAAGCGCTGCCACCAGTGTTACCAAGGTTCAACTTCTGGCCACCGGCAACATTCTGTGAGGCGCTTACTTGTTGGCCAAGACTTTCAGGGGGATTACCCGCATTAGAACCTTCGCCAACACTACCAACAGTGCTACCATAGCCTTTATTCAGTTGACTGCCGACTGCAACATTTGCCGTGTTTGTCTCTTGTTGTCCAACATTGCCGGCAGTACTACCAAGGCTTATCTTTTGGCTCTTATTCAGTTGACTGCCGACTGCAACATTTCCTGTGTTTGTTCCTTGTTGGCCAACATTGCCAGCAGTACTGCCAAAGCTTATCTTTTGGCCCTTATTCAGTTGAGTGCCGACTTCAACATTTTCCTTGTTAGTCTCTTGCGGGCCAGCATTGGCTGTGGTACTACCAAAGCTTATCTTTTGACCTTTATTTAATTGATTACCGACTGCAACATTCCCTGTGTTGGACCCTTGGTTGCCAACGCTGCCTAGTGTGTTTCCAAAGGTGTTCTCTAGGTCGTTAAGCTCTTTTTCTGCAATATTGGAATATTGGACATTAATTAGCGATTGACGCTTTCTTAAACACATAAGATCTCCCGAAGTAAAACTCTGAGTGGTTTGATTCGTCCACTTTGTTCTTTTTTTTTTTTTTTTTAAGGGACTGAATTTTCCCTGGACTGGCTGGTTATCTTAGTGGGTCTTAGTAGCAGAGTTTTCAAGGGTTCAGAATATAACCGACCGACTTCGTTGCTGAGAGAGATCAATGAGTTCAATCTTTACTGAGGCGAGAGACGTGTTTTCCCAAAGAAATGTGAGAGAAATGGAATTAAAGAAACGAGCTTAAGGATAGACTGGACCAAGTTAGTACATTGTCAAACTATGGCGGATAAAGCGATAGATGAATCGAGTTGGATTGAGCGAACATTCCTTTTGGAATGCTGGAATGCTTACCAAACATAATTACTTTTGAGGGAGGCAGGTAGGCAGGCAGGGAGGAGGGAGAGAGGGAGGCAGGAAGGCAGGTAGACAGGCAGGCGGGCAGGGAGGGAGGCAGGTAAGTAGCTACGTAAAATCTGCATACAAGCCAAGTGGCCCATCAGGCCGGCGCTTATCTTCTTTATGGTGGGAGATAGCGTCGCTGAGTGGTTAGGGCGCCGGACTTGAAATCTAGAGGTCGCGGGTTCAAGTACCGCTCTGCTCAAATAACTGGAGTTGTTTCTTGTTAGACCATAGTTCAACTCCCTGGTCATACTTTTAAATAGCCCACTGGTCTGCCTCCCGTCAGGTGGGATTTTTAACCATGCTATGTTCATTTGCATTATTTGTTTCATCATTTGGTTTCATTGGCCCTGAAAAGCCTCATTGGGGGAGTGGTCAATTAAGATATTTATTTATTTATTTATTTCTCGTCTCTAGCTCTTGTGGTCACACTCACCTTTTCTCCTCTATGTCTAGTGGTCGCGCTCCCCTTTTCTCCTCTCTATNGGGGGGGGGGGGGGGAAGGTCAATTAAGATATATATAGATATATTTTTACAGTAGCATGTACTGATTAGGAGTATTTTTAGTTCCCCAGGATGAAATGCTAGTCCATTGCAGGGTTGCCCCCAGCATAAATTCACCGTTACCCATTAATACACCTGGGTGGAGAGGGGCACTGTGAGAGTAAAGATTTTTTTGTCCAAGAACACAACACAATGTCCCTGGCCAGGGCTCAAACCCGAACCACTCAATCTGGTGTCGAGCACACTAACCATGAAGCCACCACAAACTACCTATGAGGTCTTTTTTGAGACTGCAGATGAAATAAGATATGTATTAAGGAATTGAGCCATGCCTTGTAAAGCAAAACGACTGCTTACAAAAACTGAAGCACAGTTCGGACGCCGTGTTTCTGCCGAACGTAATTTTAATTAGGCTCGACTTTAGCACAGTAAAAGCAGGACCCTGATTCAGATCGCACGCCAGAGGCGTACCAAATTCAAGATTCAATGAAGCCACGTACCTATTCTCCTCGACACTCTCCGCGAAAACGCAATCCCTCCAAAATGCATCAATACTTACTTATTACCTGAGAGTGAGGTCTCAAATCTCAAACCGGTGCCGTATTGACTTAGCTAGCGATAGCGAGGTCAATATGCAAGGTCGAGGTTTGAGATTTTCCCGTAAAGACCTCACTCGTCGTTAATAAGTAGTTCATTATACGTATTTTTGCTCTGTCTTTGTAGGCCCGTAATCGGCCCGTGGGCACTACAGGAGAATAATACTTATACACTACAGTAAGCCAATCAGAGCACGCGTTAGATCGACTACAGATACAAGCCATATAATAATATTATTTATGGATATTGTTTGACGCGGCAGAAGCACCACGTTTGATTCGCTGCAGTGTCAGACGCCGTACTTCTGCTGCGCTTTTGTCAAACTCCATTCCTGAATTTAGTTCGGCACGGCAGAAGCACGACATCTGAACTGGGCCTGATAGACTTACCGGGGTCTTGATAAGTTGACGAAGACCTCTGTTGAAAAAAAAAAAAATCAAATTCAAAACAAATATTAAGAGGTCTTAAGAGACCGAATGAGGAGTTGCTATCAGAAGCAAGAAAATGTTACGGCTTTGGTAGTTGATATTTCGATGTATCCAGTAATGCAATTATTAAGACTGAGCGTACCAGGTCAAGACTTTCAACTGGATATGTGCCTGACCCGTAAAGCATCTTCGGAGTACTGATAAGACAGCAACGAGCAACTAGCCGCCATGTTTCTTTCTAAGTTTAGCAACTGCGCCCTTATAGCATCTCGATCAATCTTAGAATCGTCTTTGGAAATTATACCACGGGCAGCCCAAGCTCTCTATGAACCACACGAGCAACACAATATGGCATCGAATTATAAGGGTTTATATGGGATTTTCTACAAGATATCCATGGAGATAGTTAAAAGTGAAAATTCGCAATAAAAATGGCTTACCTTATTCCATACGTGTGTTGTTTGCTCCTGGTGTGGTTATTTTACCGATTGAACTTGATTTAAGCGACTTTTTTGAAAGGGAAAATCGGAATTCAAAAAAGTCNTCAATTTACGGTAGAAAAGTCTGATTTCGAGTGATTCGCAACGACTGACAGAAATTGTTTTTGTAGTAGATATTAAAACTTTGCACGAAATTTCACACCGGAAAAACACTTTAAGAGAACTTAAATGGTGAACAAAATGTAACTAACATAAAGTAGTTCGGTATAAATCTGTTCTTTAATACATCTTTCTTTGTCTAGTATCACAGGCAGCCCAAGCTCTCTCTATGAACCACACGAGCAACACAATATGGCATCGAAATATCAGGGTTTATATGGAATTTTCTACAAGATATCCATGGAGGTAGTCAAAAGTGAAACTTCTCAATAAAAATGGCTTACCTTATTCCATACGTGTGTTGTATGCTCCTGGTGTTGTTATTTTACCGATTGAACTTGATTTAAGCGACTTTTTTGAATTCCGGTTTTCCCTTTATAAAGAGAGGACAAGGCGAAACACCTTAGTCGGGACAGCCTGCCGAACCAAGTCAAAACTCCCAGGCTAAAATGTACCCACGGCCACAAATCCACCGCAGAATTCAAGGGCAAAGGTTGATCTTCCATTTCAGTTCTCTAGCCACACAATCGCAGCCCT